CTCATCGGCAACAACAATGTCCTGCTGGAGGAGATGGACTCCTACGAGTGGGCCCTCAAGAGCTGGTCTCAGTGCTCAAAGGCGTGTGGAGGAGGTACTTTTTCCTTTGTACTGTAGTTACCGTGTGCTCTTGTGAGGCTGACTGGGCACGCTGAGCACGGCTCTGTGCTGAAATAAATGAAAAGGCTTCAGCGGGCTGTGCTGGCTCTTACTGCTTTCCTTCCTGGCATGGTGCTGGAAGATTTTGGGACTCATGGAGATGGAAGCTGAACCCTCGCTGGCTCTGCTGACCTTGCTGCAGCCGGGCTGCCTGCGGGGTGACAGACAGTTCATGTTTTACGCTAGCTTAGCCCCAATCTGCTCTGCTCCCAGGCGAGCACCGTTCACTTGGCAGAGCGCAGCAGCTCTTTGGCCGCACTTGCTGCATGCTGCTTGTTCTTCCTGGCTGCGAAAATGTGGCTGAGCTCCTCCAGTCCACCCTACCTGCCCGGGTGGCTTTGTGGAGGAGGCCCTGGGTCTGCTCAGCCCTTGCAGCCTCTCTCTGCTCACACCCCTGTGAGTATCTCCTGGGTGAATCATAGCAGTGTGCTTGGGTTCCCTGGAGCTTTGGGGACCCATCCTGGTGGGGCTGCCGGAAGATGGGGAGTGGGAGAATCCTGACACTACTCCCTGCTTCCCAGGCATCCAGTACACCAAGTACGGCTGCCGGCGGAGGAGCGACAACCGCATGGTGCATAGGAACCTGTGTGATAACGGCAAGAAGCCCAAGCCCATCCGGCGGCGGTGCAACTTGCAGGAGTGCTCCCAGCCTATGTGAGTCCCTCGGAATGGATGGGTGGTTGGATGGGTGCTCCCATCGCACCCTGCTGTGCAATCTGAGCTGCAATTTGCCCTACAGGGACCTTCTTTCCTCCCCCCCACCACTAACGCTGTCCCCAACCCCTTGCAGCTGGGTGGCCGAGGAGTGGAGTGCCTGCAGCAAGTCCTGCGGCAAGCTGGGACTGCAGGTGCGGGCCGTGCAGTGTGTGCAGCGCCTGCGGGATGGCACCAACCGCACCCTGCACGCTAAGTACTGCAGTGCCGAGCGGCCTGAGACCCGCCGGCCCTGCAGCCGCCTGCCCTGCCCGGCACAGTGGAGGACGGGTGCCTGGTCGCAGGTAAGCGATGTGGGGATGGGGCCGTGTGGCTCAGAGCTGCTCGTGGGGGTGCCCGGCTGTCACCCACATGCCGTGTTTCTCTCCCTGGGCGCAGTGCTCAGCCACCTGCGGGGACGGTGTGCAGCAGCGGCAGGTGGTCTGCAGGGGTGAGGAGAGCGGAGGGCGCTGCCATGGGGACAAGCCAGAGGCCATCCGGGGCTGCCACGTGGCTGTCTGTCTGGGTGAGAGTGGGGATGTGGGGACAGTCTGTGGCATGGGCTCGCTGCAGGTGGCTGCAGATTTTCTGTCACACTGACTTGAGCAAGGGTAGGATGGAGGTGGGCACTCTGAAGTTAACGGCTTGATTATTTTTGGGTGGCCAACCAGACATTTCCCAAATGACCTTGTTTTTAAGAAAATATCTAAAGAAGTCACCAGAAGTACACCTTTAAGATATTTCAAGTGCCTTCATACGTGGTGCTCTCTCTGCAGGGAAGCCCTCTGGCATCACCGCCAGTGCCAATGCTAGTGACCACGTCACACCTGGAGGGCAGTGGGAGCCCCGGGGGAGGCCCCAGAACCCTGTGAGCAAGATCTCCTCCAGTAAGTGCCCCAACACACAGCCCCATCCCTGCACTGCTCACCTCAGACTAGGTACGCATCCTCCACTGTCAGGCAGGGCAGGTGGCTGCAAGGCTGGCAGATCTCAGGCGACTCGAGCACACATTGCATGTCCTGTGCCTGCAGCCCAGCTTGCTGCCATCTTCTTGCAAGTGTTTGGGGGAAGGAGGTATCCTGCAACCCCCTTGGGATGGATGTAACCTCATCCAGCCTGCCTTGGTGCACAGCCTGGTGCCAGGTTGCCACCTCGTGGAGTTGGGGATCCATCACAGCTTCCATCCTGGGATTGGCTTTATGCTCCAGTTCCCTCACCTCTTCCATCCAAGCATTGCAAAAATTGCTGCAATGGGGCAAAGAGCACAGTTAGCACTGGTGCCTGTTGTCCTTGTGGGAGGTGAATACTACCGTGAATGCATGTGCTCACTGATGCTCTGTTCTCTGCTTTGTCCCTCTCCAGGGGAGCCCTGCCTCGGAGACAAATCCATCTTCTGCCAGATGGAGGTCCTGGCACGCTACTGCTCTATCCCTGGCTACAACAAGCTCTGCTGCGAGTCCTGTGGCAAGAAAGCCTCCGTCACTGCCTTACCCACCGGCACCCCCATGGGGACCGCTATGGGGATGCCCGGTCCCACTGACCCCAGCTCCTCTGTGCAGGGGACACCCAGTGCTGACCCCACCACTGCCACTCTCAGGGAGGTCCCAGCCCCGAGTGAGTCATCTGTGGGGACAGAGGGTGAGGGTGGGGGCCAGGCAGCCAGGTAACCCCGCTTGAGAGCTCAGCTGGAGCCGTTCTCCTCCATCCTCCTTCTCCATCTCTCCTTTTCTCCCACTTCCAGCAGTGGTTTTCCTGGGTGGCCAGGTTTGGAAATGACCTGGCCCTTCCCAAAATTCCTGGGGAAACTGCTGTTTTCTCATGATTTTCATTTCCCCTCTCCCAGCTGTGGCATTATTTTTTTTGGCAGTGCCACAAGGGAAAAAAAGGTCAAATGGAGCAAAAAGCAGCTTGGCTGCTTTAGACAGGGTTCTTACCTCCATGTGTGGCTCAGAGCCCCGGCCCATGAGGCATGGGCCACCAACTTCCAAGGTGCTAAACCAGGGGCTTTAAGGTTGCCTTTTCCTCTCCCTCCAAGCAGTAAGATAGGAGGGGATTGGAAGGAGGACCTTGGCTCTTTGGCCAGCCCCTGCCTCCTCCAGGTACCGGCACATTTGTCATGGTGCTCACAGAGACCCAGCTTTGGGTAGGAGCATGTGGATGCTCAGGAAGCTGGGGTCTCCCTGCAAAACCTCTCTTCTGTGACCTCTTTTAGGAGGACCAACCATAGCATGAGCAATAAGGACAAGGCCAAAGACCAAAAACAGGGTTTCCAAAATGCCTATCACCCAGCGGTGACTTTTCGGCCAATAATGCCCTTGGCTATCTTTGTACTAATACCAACTTCTGGCATTCCCAGGACCATGACCCTCTTCTCCCGTATGCCCAGTGTCTGTAGAGCACCAAGGCGCTGTGGAGATTTGTGGGGAAAACCAGGAAGCCCAAGTGCCGGGAGGGATGCCACCAAGTCCCCAACATCACGCTGAGCTCAGCTCTAAGAAGAGCACCAAAGGGTTAGGGTCATGGCTATGCTGGAGAGCTGCCCTCTTGCACCTCCACCTTTTGTCCCATGGTGGGAAAAGGGTTGGGATTAATGCCATTAAAAATATCGTGCCAAGTACTAGATATATGCACAGCACTTTAGAAGCATAGGGCTCCATGCAGCTTGCAGGGGAGCTGGACCTCAGCTGAGGACGCTCTGTCCCTCCAAGGGCTGTGGGCACTGGTAGAGAGGAGGCTCTGGGCTGCTGAGGTAGATCTGAGGAGGGCCAGGCTGATGCTGTGAGGTGTGTATGGCTTGGTGCACCTGAGGCAGTGATGGTGTTGCCTTCCTGGCTGCATGAGAGGCAGGATGGGCATCTCTAGAGCAGTAAGCGTGTTCTTCAGTTCTGGGGGTGCCTCAAATCCACTTTTTCCTTGCCTGGGAGCACAGGAGGTGTTGGGTGCCTTCCTTTTGTGTCAGGAGAACAGAGTGGGAGGCTGAGGACAGGATGGTAGGTGGACAGAATGCTCTATTTTTGGTGCTCAGTTTCCAAGAAGGAAGCCCACAAAGTGCATACACAGGGAACTGCTCCTTTGTCCTTCACTATCTCCAATTCACTTTCCAAACTCAGCTATAATTCAGCTGTGGTTCTGTGCATGTCCAGGGCTTGCTGGCGAGGTGGCCAGAGTACTGGGCATGCCCCATGAGCACAGTGGCTTTAGGACACGCTGCTTTTGGGATGAGTGATCTGCAGTGCCATTAGTGCATGAGCAGTGCGCTGCATCCACAACATACGTGGTGCTGGGAGATGTTTGAAGCTAGAGTATTTCATGTTGGCATGCAAGCCCCCATCACCCTTTGCTGGTGCTACCAAATTGTACCAAAAGAGCTGAAGGGATGTTAAGATGCTCTTGCCCCACATCACTCCTAGGCTGAGGCAGGATGACCCGACTGCTGCATTAAGTGGATACCATGAGAGATGGAATGGAGCCCCGTGTCTGAGCCAGCAACCAGCACACCTCATATCCTGCCTCATCTCATGCCCCTCACAGGGCCCTCCTCTGGGAGTGCCAGCATTTATTTATTGTGCCAAAGATAATGCTTCACTGCAGGTGCTGTTTACAATCCCAGGAGCCTCTCAACCCCATGCAGAGCAGGGCAGGAGGATGCACAGATCTCTCCTGCAGCTTCAGCAGCTGTGTCAGTGCAGGATTGTAATGTCTGCAGGGTGCATCATGCATGTGTTCTCACCCAACCTCCAAAAAGTTGTCAGCTACAGTCCTCTGTTTGATGCTGTCCTGGGCATTATGGCTTTCTTGTGTTAGTTTTTGCGGTGGTTCATTGCTGTATGGCAGAGGAGGTTGGTGCCTTGGGGCTGCCTCAGCCTTGCTACCATGGAGGTGTTGCAGGGCTGATGTGTGCCAGTGGCTCTCTCCCAGTCATGCAGAGGCTGCAGCATGCAGCATGCCCGCTTCACCCCACACCATGCTGCCTGCCTCTTTGGTCAGCGCTGCAATGTGTAAAGTTTTGTACATACCAGATTCAGAGCTTTTTAACTTTTAATATTTATTAATTTTGTTGGGTTCAATTTTTTTTTCTTTTTTTCTTTTTTCTTTTTTTTTGGAACTCTAACATAATGTAAAGAAAAAAAAAAAAGAAAAAAATCCACATCACTGTCTATTTCTGTTGATTTATTTAGAGTGTGGGAATAGTATAGTATGGGAGCACATGACCAGTGTGTGATTGAAATGGATCTTCCATAGTAAGCTGCCACTTCTGTGTTTTATTTAGCTCCTATTTATCAGCCGGGGTTTCACATGGCTTTTGCAAGCGGCTTCATCTTTCCAATAAATAAGCAAAGCCACTGGGATATATAGGCTCCAAGCCCCCCAAAGTGGCTGCAGTCATGCTTCATGGCTCCAGAAGGAGCTATAAGAGGAAAGATGGGTTTCTGTCTGTGCTTTGCAGTGATACCTGCCTCGGTTCTGTGGTTGCACAGGATGGGAAATCCTATCCATATGCACACATATATATACACACAGAAATGTAAAGCTACCTCTCCACAAATGAATAACAGTGTGCTGGGGTCAGAGACAGGCAGTGGAGGAGAGGTGCTGGCGGAGGTGCCCGATGAACTTGGCCTGACACTGCGGCAGGACGCGATTGGTGACCGAGGTGGGGATCCAGCCCTGGGGGAGAGAAACACGTGAAGGATGGCGGGTGCTGGGCCAGCACGGGGGCACTGCCACAGTGCAGCTTACCTTCAGGTCCATGCTGAGCAGCCACGTGACACGTGTGCAGCTCGGGTTGCCTGGCAGCGGCTGCAGCACGATACAGCTCAGCCGCGTCTCGGCCCTGCAGGACAGGGCGGTTACACCACAAAACAGGAGGTGAGACCTCCTCCCCACAGCCCGCCATTTTGTGACCTGCGTTACCTGACACAGCCCTGTGGTGCGGGTGGCCGCTCGAGGTGGGCAGTGGTGCCCACCAGGTAGATGGCTGCCCGTGTCCTGCTGCGGTGCCGCGTGCTGACGAAGTCCCTGCGTCCCACTGGGCTGGCAGCTGTCACCTCGTGTGTCACCAGCGTGTCCTCACCCGGGCGGCAGAGCACCTGCAGCACACGCGTTGTGTACAGTGGGATTTCAATGGGTCTTAATGCCCGCTGGCAGTCCTGCTGCCTACCTCCACGCGGCTGAGGCTGGGGTTCCAGCGGGGCATCTCCTCCAGCCGCTCAAACAGCTCACCCTGCAGCCGGCCCACCGGCACCGCCAGCACCGCCTCGGCCCGAAAGACGCGGCCCAGCCCCGGCAGTGCAGTGCTGGACATTGCAGCCCCCGCGTTCTGCAGGCACAGCACCCACATCAGGGCTGCACCCCGCGCCTCGGGGTGGGGTTTGTGGTGTGCATGGGGTCGGGTCAGTTACCGGCACGGCCTCCGGCTGCCAGCAGTGTGGCTGCTGCAGGATGCCCAGCGCTCGCTGCAGGGCCTTTTCTCCCTGGTGGATGTAGGACAGGTCCGTGCTGGAGGGCTGCGTGTCTGCTGTGGGCTCTGCGCACCTGGCTTCAGGAGCGGGTGGAAACACAGAGAAGTGTGAAAAATCCACCCTCTCTGCCCAACTTTGCGTATATCTGGAGGGATGGGGTGTGGGTACAGCAGTGCATGCCAGGTGAATTCACCATGTTTTGGGTCTTCAAGTGAGTTGGTGGTGTCTGTAGCCACAGACATCAAACCAAACCCTGGTACATGGCTGTCAGCTCCACTAGGCGCTCTGGTGGCCTTTACAGGTCATTCACCTTTCAGCATCCCCATCAACACTAGGGATGCCACTGGAGTGATGGAGAGCAGCCCAGAGACCAGAATCATAGAATCATTCAGGTTGGAAAAGCCCTCTCAGCTCACCCAGCCCAACCCCAGTCCACCCCCACCTGCCCACTGCCCATGTCTCTCAGTGCCACATCTCCACAGCTCTGCAACACCTCCAGGGGTGATGTCTCCACCACCTCCCTGGACAGCCTGTGTCAATACAGCACCACTCTTTCTGAATAAAAATGTTCCCTAGTGTGCAACCTGAACTTCACTTGGCACAAATTAAGACCATTACCTCTCATCCTTAAGGCAGCTTTGCCCCCCTAAAAATCAATGCGTCTGACGGCTCATCCCTCCCCATCCCTCATTGCAGTGGGGCTGAGGAATGCACTGTCCAAGGGTCAGGGCTGCCCAGGCTGCTCACCAGCATCCTTCCCCATGAGTCTCTGGATACAAGGAGGAACTTCAGAATGTAGGCAGTGGGAGCCTGTCAACTCCTGCATCACCGCAGTGGCTGCTGTCTTCAGGCCTGGGGAAGAGACGTGCTAGTGACCACTGAGGAAGATGTATGCTATAAAAAGCAAAAGCATGCACTCATTTGGTCTGGAAACAAGCCACATTAGTATTGGCTGAACCAACCAGGTCCCAGCTGAAAACTTCATCACTTTTACAATTTTCACTTAGCATCTCTTTGCAGTCCCTCTCAGCATCTTTTACTCTCTCCTTTAGGACCCCCTTAGCATCTCCTTCAGGGCCCTCTGAGTATCTTCTTTTTGATCTCTTTAGCCTCTCCCCCTAGCATCTCCTTTGGAACTTTCAGAGCATAGCATTCTCATTTCTGCACAATTTTTCTAGGGACGTGAGGAGAGAGTGGTTCTTACCGGGCAACTTGCGGAGGTGGTCATGGGCAATGCCGCAGCACAGCTTGATGATGGCCTGCAGCATGTCACGGGTTGGGGCTGCCAGCCTGCATGCACGCACAGCATCTCCTTTTGCCTTTATAGCAGGCATGAAGGACAGCACCTGATTATAGGAGCGTGCCACAGATAGGAGCTGGGAATGAAGAGTGCTCAAGGACAAGGCGAGCAGAAGGAGGGGCTGGAGAAAGGGGGTATGTTTTCTTCTGAATGAGCACTCACTGCACTGTGGTTCATTGCGGGTGGCTACAGATGGGATGTGGCTGAAATGTGACACTTCTGCAGTTCCCAGCCTGGATGGTTTACTGGGGATGGCAGCTGCACACTCAGATTGGGAAAGGCAACCAGTGGCACTTGTGTGGCAGTTGAAGGTGCTGGAAGTCCTGCTTATTGAAAATCCTGCTTCTTCCTATGGGAGCTCCTTAGAAGTCATGATGGTGATTGCTGTTACCATAACTCCTCAAGCCACTCCTTAATATCTCCTCACCTACTTTATTCACTCCCAATGACAGTGGGACCACTGCAACTCCTGAGCAAAGAGGCAAGGAGGGAGAGTCTTACGCTGTCCAAAATCACATTATTGCAGAATGGCTAAGGTTGGTGGGAACCCCAGGAGGTCACCTACTCCAATCCCACTCAAGCCAGACACCCAGAGCTCTCCCTCTCACAGTCCCCACAGGGATAACTTCATGCCGCCACCACTCTTGTGGGCACAGCTGTGCTCAGTTACACCTCACAGCTTTCCCACTCGCTTCCTGATTGCTGCAGTGGGTACATGAGCATCCCCACCCATGCTGCTGCACTCCCTTAGTGCTCTGTGCCTGAGAGCTCCATGGGAAATATGGTGAGTGGATTTGCCATGGAAATGCTGATGTGTTTTTATTTTATTTTTATTTATTACTAGCTGCCTAGGATTGAAAAGCAGTGAATGATAAGAAATCTGCCCCAACACTTTAAATGTACAACTGTGAAGTAGTGCCTATCTTCTGTGTATTGTCTATTCTCTCACACGTATGCTGCTCAATTTTGTGCATGCTGTCTTTGGCACAGTTTTCTCTGTACAGAAAGCTGCAGTAGACGCACAGATGATGTTTTATCATCCCGTTGAATGAGGGGGGCTGTGCTAGGAAGAGGAAAGTTTATGGACCTGGGTACTGGTGGTGGGATACGCACCCAGCCCTTGTATGGCACAGCACGATGATTTTGCCCTGGCACCTCCGTCGGGTTTGGCAGCAGCCGCTGGAGGTCACTGCTGATCTGCAGCTCCACACACAAGGCTGCTTGGGGAGCTGTGCAGGAGAGCTACTCCTAGGGGCTCCCCTGGGGCTGCCCTGGGTTTAGAATCCTGCCTTGGCCCTGAGAGCTGAGCAGCTGCTGGCAAGTGGGAGCACCTCAAGCAATAGGGAAAGTTTGGGTTCTGGCACTCTCTAACCTTCCCAGCCATGCCTCTCCCCTCTTTTTGGAGTATGTTCTGAACACCCATCATTTCTGATTGTAAAGCTTTAGGACACTCTTGGGATGGCAATTGCTCCAGAAGACACTCTACAGCAGCCAAGCAAACAGCACTGAAATATGTGAAATGGCCAAATCCTGATGAGGAGCAGGTGATAATGTGACCCTCCCCATTTTTGCCCTTTCCCCAGGGAGCAAGCGGGGCTCAGAGGAAGATGAGGCTTAGTACTGCCTCTTTCCCTACTCAGCCATTGGCTATCAGCAGCTTGGCAGCAATTGGAGCAGTACAAGGAGATAGGCACTGCCTCTTCATGGTCACCCGGATCCCCCTGTTCAGAGCCGAGGGCAAGACCCAGGTCAGCTTCTTTCTGTGTCCTTGAGGTTGGTTCTGTATGAGATTGTCCTGTAACCAGCAGAGCCTTGGTGCAGGGGAAGCCCAGTTCTCAAGCCAAGTCTTGGATAGCTTCCAAAACCTTTGCAGAAATGGGAAGGAGAGGATAAGGCAGCATCCCCTGACCTGTAGAGACCTTCTGTAGGGCTGCTCTCGTCCCTAAAGGTGCTCTTTGGGTTGGTAGGAGCAGAAGGAGCCTTGTGTCGCCATCTCACCCTCATTGCAGCATTTAGCTATGCATCTCTGGAGCACTCTGAATACAGATCTCTGGGAAGCATAGCTTTGGGATGGCACTGGCCATGCTGTGCTGGCTGGAAGTGTGTATGGGAACTGCTCTTCACTTCTATGTCTGGTAACATTAAAAGTCAAAGAGAAAATACAAAAAGCCACATTACTTTTGTTTCTGTACGTAACCTAAGTGCATGATGTTAGTCTTTCAGGAAGAAGCAGACAAACCCAGGAGACTGTGCTACTTTAAACACCGGAGTCTACGTTTTTGCAATCCCAGAGTCCCTCTATTTTTTTCTTTTTTCTTTTTTTTTCTGAAAAGCGCATTTCAAAATAGAAAGAAGGACTGAGATAATTCAAAGGCATATTCTTATCAGGAAGGAATGAAGTGCTACTTTCCCTGGTGAGCCTCCCTGTAGTATAGGAGAGGTGTTCTGTATTTGTGCCTGATAACAATCCAACTTGGGAGGAGAATGCAAAGCAGAAGAACAATATTTACTTCAAACTGATTGTATTTTTCATAAATTGTCACCAAAAGATCCCAAATATCAAGCGAAAGGGAAGCTACTGTATCTCTTTGTTGCTGGAACACTGCCTTCAGCACGTGGGGTTGAGGCGATCCTATCTCCATCTGCTGCCCTGAGGAGCAGAGAAGGGGAACTGCTGTTCAGATGATAAGAGGGGCCAGAGGCTTCTCTGTTAATATGTAAACTTTGGATCAAAAAGAAGACAAGAGGCTCCAGGCAGAAGCCATCGCTCAATAGGTGGGTTTTGACTCCTCACGTGCAAGGAAAATGCCTGTCTACTGGTATTGGCTGGCTTCCATAAGGAGGAGAAAAGGGATGGGATGGAGATGTGACCCCAGTGGTTTGTTTTTTCCACTTCTGATTGAATAATGTCTGCATTGAGAGATGATCATCTGGCCACCGATGACCCGTAGTACTTGGCCAGGCTTTCTGGGAAGACCCTCAGTTTCAGAAAGGACCACTTCAGCTTCTTGATCTCTTGCTCTCTGCACCATCCAGCATCTATATTTGCCCCATAAGATGGACTGAACCACCAGTAATTCATTGCAAATACCCACAGGATGGAGAATTTCCCAAACGCTTTGGCAGCCTGCACCCACAGCTTGAACCTTATGTTTCCCCAGCTGAGTTTTTCTGACTTGAGACAAGTTCTGCATGCTACCTATGCTAGAGTCAGTGTTTTCTTCCTGTGTCTTTGCCCCGTGCAATCTCAAAACACCTTTCTAATTCTTCTCTCTTCCATGCTAAAATCTTGTGTGAGAGCAGGAACTGTTGGTGAGGATCAGCATACTGAGGGGGATAGGCAGAGCAGTTGTGGATATGCCAAAGGTAATGAAACATCTCATGGCTCTTTTCTTTTCCTGCAGCCACTCCCTGCTCCACAGCCCCCACCCCATCTTCTTCAAATGATTTCCCGCATTTGTTCCCATTTTTTGGCTCTGTCTTTATCACATTTCTCCCTGCTTTGAGATGAGGACTGAGCCTGCTGCTCTATCCTATAGAAAGTGTTTGCTGTTGGGTAGACACTCTGCGTTTAAAGTTTCCTGATGTTTTGTCCAGCTTTCTTTCCCTAAGCTCTATGGGTCAGGTTCCTCTGCCTCCCTTCTTTATCTTCGTGCATCAAGCACAAATCTGACCTCACTGATATCCCAGCAGTTCCCCTCCTGGCCTCATCCCTGCTGCCTGCTGTGACACTGGCCATATCCCTGGCAACAGAGAGCAGCTTTCCGGCAGGAACAAGAGGAAAGGTCTGAGCTGTGAGAGCCGCGTTGCCTTCATATGCAAATTAATTCAAACACATTCAATTACACTAGAAAGAACATATAATAATTGGCAACAGGTTATGCAGTGTTTTGTCTTGCTATGCTATCTCTCCCTGAGGATTATTCTGGGATGAATATCTATGTGGCTGTATTAAAAAATAAAAATAAAAAACAAACAAAGGAAAGAAAAACAACTTGCACCTCCTCCAGAAATATATTTATTTTCCATGCTCCTGGACTCTTTGGCGGCCACAAAACTACATTAATGTGGGGTGACGTTATTCACTCCCTTGTGGGCAACTTTCTCCTTGCCAGCTGCAGATGTGTTGTTCCCTTCCAACTGTTTAATAAATGGAGGGAAACCATGGTATTGTATCAGACTGTAGCATGCCTTTTTGGGCTATCAGAAGCTTATTTACAAAAGAAGGCTGTGTATCACAAGGCTTGTTATATGGATTGCTCTACCTTCATGCCCATGGAGGAGAAGAGTTCGGGTTGAAAAAACTAAAGGGTGAAAAGATCCTGGCCCCAAGCAAAGGGTGCCTCTTGCTGCCCTGCAGCAGTTCCTGCACCTCTTCTGATGATTTCATCTTTTTTTTTTTTTTTTTTTTTTACACAGCAATCTGGTTGTGGCAGGGATGGGCAGAGGTTTGGCCAGCTCATGGAGAACCAGGGTGCATGGCAGGCAGGGATGCGGTAGCCCTGACCCAAATGTTCTTGTCTCCTACACTCCCTCCTCTGCCATCAGCAGCAGGTGGCACATCTCAGAGTTGGCCTGGTGCAGGGCAAACTCCCGGGCAGGCATGGTGCCCTGCCGGCCTTTTCGGACAGTGCTGCTCTGGTTCCCAGCAAATGTGGAGACAGTGAAGATCTCTCTGTTAGAACAAGGGAAATGCAGGAGGTCAGGAGGCTGTGATGGTGGTGGAGAACCTCATCCACCTACCAGGCTATTCACACACCTATTTGCATGCAGGACCTTTATCTCCCATTAAATCTCTCCAGTCCCCAAGAAGTCTTTCTCCTTATCAAGCACACAGTCATAGAATGGTCTGTGCTGGAAGGGACCTTAAAGATCATCAAGTTCCAACCCCTGCTGTGGGCTGGTTGTCTTCCACCAGATTAGGCTACCCAGGGCCCCATTCAAACTGAACTTGGGCACCTCCATGATGGTTCTAGAGGAAGTGTGTGGTTGATGAGACCTTTCCCTGCCCTGCAGAATGAGGGAAAGGGATATGGGGTTTGCTGTCCATTGCACAGATCCCTTGTGTGGATCCCTCACTGGCTGGGTTGCTCCTACCCAAGCTGTGATCAGAAGTGCAGAAGCTGGAGGAGGGTTTGCATGGGGCTCTGTGTGACACACTACTATGCCACTGTTCTCGCCAAGACTGTCCAAATTCTTTCTGGACAATGTTTTCTTGAGTGTAGTGTCTGTATTATTGCCTCATAAGACATTTTCATTATATACATTAATCCTTATATATGTTAAACCTGTGTTATGCAGCCATGCATTAAATCTTTGTTATTCTCCCAGCCTTTGGCATCTGCTTTGCGAGTGGATTTCGTTCAATCTCTTTTTTTGTGTACAATGTCGTTGATTCTTGAACCTTTGGTGCCTCCAGTAAAAGCTGTAAGAGGCTGTTATATTTCAAGTGCGTCCATGAGGAAGAAGTGCTCCAGTGTCTGGAGTCGAGGGATAAGTGGCAGAATAAATGGTTCCCACATAAAGCAGATTTAGCACCTGTGTTCGGTGCTGAGGACAGGTATGGTCTGCACTTGGTGAAGAGCTCTGTCAGCCACTGTGTGGGATAAGTACTGACTGGTACTTCATGGGCCCCAACAGCAGCCTGCATCCAGAGCTTACCTATAGGGCACCTGCTCCTCCCTCAGCTGCAGGCACATGAGTACAGGGCTGCTGGAAAACCTCAGGATGGTGTCAAAGTAGATTGAAGTCTCTGCCTCAGTCTGGCTCCTCAGGGTTGTTTGGAGGAAAGGAGCATCCAATTCTGTCTGGAAATCAATGGTGAGGCTTCCCCTGCAGGAAGGGAGAGTGAAGGTCTGGCACTGAGTTCTGGGCACTGGACAACTCCACAAACCATTGTCTTGGGTGGTGGGATCCCTGGACCTGCTCACCTGGTGTTAACACTGGTCTTCAGTTCCTGCTCCCAGATGTTCACATCCACGTTGGCTGAGATATCAAGCCCAAGTCCACCCTGAAGTTTGACCGTTGCCTGGAGACCAGACTGCAGAGGGATGACCTGGGAGATGGAGAGGATTTTACAAACCCCCAGAGACCTGTGGCAGTGCCACCCTGATCTGAGATGTATAGCCACGGTGAACAAGTATCTACCAGCAAGTTTTAGGTGTGGGATTCCCTAGGCATTACCACGGACCTGCCTTGAGGCCAGTATGGAGGAAGACGGTTCATCCCACCAGTACCTGGTGATGGTCCATCAGCAGGAGGTTCCCTTTGACCACATTTGTGGGTTCCCCACTGCTCAGCAGAACCTTGGCCATTAAGTCTGAATATCCCTGGAAGAAGATGATCGGCCGCAACTGGACATTGAAGAAGATGGCAGACATCCCAGCCATGAGCTCTGGCCCCTCTTCCCCTTCCAAGGTGTTTTCTCCCAGCATTGACTCCATCCCTTGTGCTTCTATAGTGACCTAAACCATAGAAATGGAGACATGAGCTGCACAGAGCATGACTGAGGGGTCCATTTCAGGCACCGTGATGCTATTCAAGCTGCTACCCTTAGCCAACCCTTTTGGGTAGCCACTCTTCGTCAGAGCTTGGCTACCCATCAGTGACTTCTGCAGTGGTGGGGTCCTCTGGGTAGGGTGGTGAAGCCAAACCTGTTGCTGTCTCTTACCTGAGCTGCACGAAGATGCCAGTCATGGCTGAACAGCGAGAAGTCGGAGACGCTCTTTCTCAGGAACCCACCCTCCAAAAACAGCAGGTCCAGCCCAAAGGTGGAGAGCAGTTCCTTGGTGGCTGAAAGACAGAGCTACCTGATGAAGCTAAGTTAATCGGGGAGGAAATCGCTGTGCCATCTCCTTCCATTCTGGCTATAAGCAAGGGATGTGGCAGTGTAGTATTTTTCTTGCAGATGTTGGATATTTTGCCCCCACGTGTCCCCTATAAAGCTAGGCTGAGATAATTTGAAATGGGGGCTGAAGGGTGAAGATTTAGGCAGGTATTTAGCAAGCATGGATTGCTACAGTCTCTCTGAAGTTTGGTGATTTTTTTTTTTATCTCAGTACAAGAGAGCTTATTAAAAGCTCAGTAAAAGAGCTTATTAAAAATACCAAAGGAACTGAGAAATGGGGCTAAATATTTTGACTTATCAGGGAGAGAACTAACTCCCACCTACAGCCTACTTCTGGCTTTCTTTCCAGATGAAGTTCCTCTTTCAAATCAGCAAGATATGGGAAAAGTATGCGGTGTGGTCTTTCAGCTCAAAGCAGGGGCATCAGAAGGAGGCAAATATCTGGTGGTAGCAATTGACCAACTTTGGGTGGTGCTAGAGACTGCTCAACCCAAGATTTTGGGGATTTTGGGGGTATTTCCTGAAAGCTGAGGCCTCTGCTGCAGCCTGCCCTTCCCCACCAGCCTCTTTTGCTTCTTCAGGGGGCTGTGGGACAAGTGTCCCTGTGATGTCACCTGTCAGAGGTCCTGAGAAGGAGGAGGAGATGCCAGCTTTCGAAAAGTGGTTGTAGTTGTTTATCCGAGGGTCTCTCATGATGTCATTCATTATCTTCCTGGAAGCAAGAGGGATATGGTTTGAAAAGATTGGGAGGATAGGAAAATGTGAGTGAACTGTAGAAAGAAAAGAAGGAAATACAAATTTCAGAGCTATTTGCTGACAATGCAAGCAAAGAAGGAAACAAGTAGTCTGAGGCTATCCTGGAATTCCCCTCTCCTCTATAAATTAGGATAAACCATCTGAATATTTTTGTGCAGCTTCTGCTTAGCTCTGAAAACTATTAGTGCTGGCTTGTTCTGTGCAGATAGAGAGATTAATGTGGTTACACACTGTGTGCTGCACCACAGGCCACAGTGTTGACCTCCAAGGACTGCTGAAAACATGAGCCTGGATCCGCAGCTCAAAAGCTACAGCTGAAGCGTTGGGAAGGACAAAAAGTAAAACTCACCTTGCTGGGTGGTGGTTGGCATGCAGGCTGCTCTGCACCTTCAGCAACAGGAAAGTTGCTGCTTCTGTTCCCAGCTGGTGAGCGGCCAGCAGGATGTTGATGACATCCATGGGCAAGGGTGTGTTATCCAAGAGGATTTCCGCAGCAGCCAAGCGGCACGTTTTCTCGTAGCTCTTCCTCTTCTCATGGAAGATCTTCCTCATCGTTCTTTTCACCTGACGTGAGAGGGCAGTTTGAGGGATGATATCAGGGTCCTGGCATGCAAGTGGTGGCAAGGACCCCAATGGGAAGAGGAGTTTGTATGTTAGGTACCTCGCTGGTGATGTGCTGGGCAGGGAATTGACGCAGGGAGCTGATAGCTGCAGCTGCCACGGCAGTGGGACCTTTCTCTGCATACTCCAGGAGGGTGGGAATGGTGCTGGGGAGCTGTGCATTCCCCAGGGCCAGCAGGTGGGTGACTGCCTCGTGCTCCTTCTTGGCACTTCTCAGCCCCATGAGGATGGTTTCCATGCTGTGCTCCACCTCCTTGTTGGGTTTGACAAGAGAGCAGAAGTCAAGGAGGGTAAGAGGAAGTTTTGGGAATCCTAAAGGAGCTGGAAGGCTGAGGGACCTGAGCTGGGTTTGCAGGACTCACCTGCAGCCCACACAGCTGCTGCCGGCACAACTTGCCAACCAGAGAGCCCAAGGCCACCATCCCTGTGTCCCGGACCTCAGGTACCATCTGCTTCCCTTCCAGCTTGTCCTGGGCAGAGCAAGGAGCGTTATACAATGGGAGAAAATGGGGCAAAAGATAAAGGAGGAAAGTGTTTCAGCTGTTATTTCTAAGCATTTATCTGAAAAGTAAGGAGAAACTAGTTCTCACCTGCCTTCAAGGGGGGCAATGCATGGCTTGGTGGGGTAAAATTTTTCGGTAGCTCTAATTAAGCTTTCAATGTTTGTAACACATTGATATAAAACACTTTCTGCTGAACACTTATCCTCTGAGGTGCACTACTCTCATTGGCAGCATCCCTTTAAAAGTCACATAAATAGGAAGCTCTATTTCTACAGTTATATTTCAGTTTATAGAACAAATCTATGCATATTTTTTTGCCATTCCTTCTGGACTGAAAGAGTGGGAGGACCCATCCTGGACTATTGAGGGGTAGGCTGAGGGAAGCTATGAAAAGTCAGTTCTCAAAGTTGTGGAGAGACAGAAAATGTACTTTGTTGCCTGATGATATGATGTCACCACAGCCTTTTGAGGAGTTTTCATCGGCTTACCTTGCTTTTAAGGAATGAGTGTAGTATGCAGGCTGGAAACTGTACGTTGTGCCTGTAGTGGGAGGCTTTGCCAGGAAAGCTTTGAGAGCAGATTGGTGGGGTGGGAAAGATCTAAAGATGGGCTCAGGCCTTTCTGGAGGGAATATCCTCACCTACCAGCACCAAACGCAGCAGCTCTTTTGTAGGCCGGGGAG